TATTATGATAACTTAATATAAGGATTTGTCTAATTTTAATTATTATGGTAGTGTTATGTGATGTGTTCTGGTAATATTGTGGTGGACATTATAACTGCAACAAGCTCTAACTCCTTGATTTTTGTTACAAGCTAGTCACAGTTCTACAAGAAATCGCTACCAACATATAACAGTGCTTAGTAACAAATCATTACCCAAACTGCGACAATGTTTCGTGCCATTTAGCGCCTAACCTTGCAACAGTTCTAGAAACCACTACAAATGTTTTGCAATGGATTTGGGCCAACAAACCTCTAGTTAAATTGCTACCGTGAATTAAAACATTAAAAAATAGTTGCAGTTTTTGTTCAAACCACAACAAAGAACATTGCTAGTGTGGCAGTCTGAGTAAACTGCTGCTAAAGGCCGCCTTTTTTTTGTAGTGTGTCAAAAATTCACTAGAAGAGCTTTAATTTATTGCTCTTATGTTTACAACCTGTAATTTCATCATCATCATCAACATCATCCTTATCTATCAAATTTTTTAATTAATAAAGCTTTAATTGCATGATCATAATCATCATCCTTATCTAGCTATCAAAATTCATCCATATATGATATATAGAAGCAATAATAATAATATAGACCTTCAATAATGATCCTAGAGCACTGACTGTATGGCTCTCATATGTTGGAAGTCAGAGACTAGTGAGGGCAGCATTTTTGGTGATTCAATGTATTTGGATGCACACACACATGGATTTCTTTGATATATCATTTTCCAGTAGCAACAAGCAAACATACTTAGGACGTGATTCTTTCTGGATATGTCCATCTCATCACACAACATGAAAACAATATAAACCGAAACATCAGTCGCTATATAAGATACACACACACGCGCACGCAAGTCCTCTGCAACATCTGAGGCCATGTGAAATTGAGTTTTCCTGTGGTTTCCCATGTGTGTTTGAGATTGCTTGTCTCCTCAAACACATTCAATGCCTAGAAATGTTTCAGGCAGAGACAAAAAAAATTTGTCCTCAACGAACATGAACTTGTCTGGGCTTGTTTGATCCTATATATATATATATATATATATTTATGCAATAGCAAGTGTTTAAACCAGCGTTGATTATGAAAAACTCTAGATTTGAAAGAACTTGGTCATTTAATTTTCCCAAAGTATGCTGGTGAACTTGTTTGAATTAATGGTTCCCCACTTTGAAATCATGGACTAAATTGTTTAACATATTATTATAGACAGCTAAGCTCATTAGATATAATAGGCCTATTCATGCTATTATAAGCCAAGAGCATTGTCAAGGTTCAAAATGTCTACGGCAGCATCTTTTCATAATGCACCTATACTATGCATGAAAAATTAGCCACAACAACTTGACAGTATTATATTACTAAATAGAGTCAGCTAAATTAATTATACAATATTATTATACTCTATCTCATTAAATAATTTTAATTTAATTGTTATTTTTTATCTTCATTTATATGTCTCTTTTTATAAGATTTAAAATTATTTGTTTCACTCTTCTCATCAATTTTTTATTATATTTTTTTTAATAAATTAGTCATGACTTTCTATACTAGTAACCGGTGACTTTTTACACCCACCAATGTAAAAAGTTTTTTAAAATTAATATAAAAAGTTTTTTTTTTTTTGTGGTAGTGTGGTAATTGAAGGCTAAAACATGGCATCAACAAGAAGATTCAACTGGTAAGAATATATGGTTGTCATGGTCATGTCATTAGGCTAATCAAATTTGTTCTTTTATAGGTTGTGGGGGACAAAATCAATTCCCACACATACATAAAACAATCATTAAGCATGAGCCTATAATAGTGCAGCCTATTGTCCTGCGCCCACCCTTTTCTGAGAAGAAAAGAAAATAAGCATTAAAACCAAACAGAGTAAGTCACACAAAATCATTGAGGCAAACCAAGAAAAAAAAAAGGTACGACGATGACATTCATTGTCATCTCTCCACTGGAAAACAAATTCTTACTGACATGTATCAGATCACTGACTTTAACCCAAATCTTTGTGCATTTTAATCAAAAATAAATGAAATGGGAAGTTGAATGGTGATTTTATGAGAATGAATTTCAACCAAAAGATATAACTGTGATTTAGTGTTTTTTTCTTTTGTATCTTATGCCAACATCTCCAACAATAGTTTAATTGAATTAAAGATGTCTATAATGTCACATGAAATATTTACCGAGTGAGAAGATTTAGGACTTTTACCCAATCTGCATTCGTGATTGCCCAGTATGTATTTGTGTGTGTGTGTAAATGATAATTTAAGGCTTGGGAATGATTGCGAAACCAAAGGGACAAATGGGGTCCACAGTGTTGGAAACAAACAAGGTCTTGATTCTAAGCATGCACGACAACCTTCATGCACATCATTAAAGTTGTCACTTGTTACCCCTTCAACTATTACTACATTTTCAAAAGCCTCCTTATTTCCCTCTTCCTTCTTTATTTTCTCTTGTTTTGAAAAATCTGAATCTGACACATAGATACAGCATTTTCACTTTGCACCATGTGAACTACACTACAAGTCTACCCGATTGCTTCACCGCCTCCCATTTGTTCTATCGCTCTCAGCCAATGGTAGAGCGAAGGGGACAAGCGGTCACGGTTTTTTCAAAATTTTCATTTTTTTAATATTATATACTCCCTGCCTTTCAAGTTTTATAAAAAACTTTGTAACATATATGACTTTGTTTGAAAATTTATTTTAAAAATAATTTTCTATTTTTTTAAAATTAAATATTTGATAACATATTTTTAGAAAATGTTTTGAAAAACAAAAAAAAAAATATAATAGAAAAATGAAAATATTTTTTAAATATTTTGAGATTATTATTTTAAAAAACACAAGATAATGCAAAAAATACTTGCTTTCTTTATCTTTTTCTTAAATCATGTTTTACAAAAAATTAGTTCTCATAATAATAAAATAAAAATAGCTTTAAATAAGTCCTTGTGTTTTTTATAATCCCGGCCTCTTCAAAATAAGATTATTGTTTTAGAGAACACAAGATAATGCAAAAAATACTTGCTTTCTTTGTCTTTTTCTCAAATCATGTTCTACCAAAAACTAATTCTCATAATAATAAAATAAAAATAGCTTTAAATAAGTCCTTGTAATCTCGGCCTCCTCAAAGTGAAATCTCTGATCAGCTGAATTGAAATACAGTTTTTCAAAAAAGAAGTTGAAATTTAGTTACTTTAATGTCTATAAGATCGAACACATGATGAAATTAATTCACACAAAAAGGAGAGTGATACGTGGATTGTGAATGGGAAATGTCTTGTGGTTAGTGAGCAAAAAAGGGTGATGAGGGTCAAAAGTTCCCAAATGAAAAGAAAGAGACGATCGAGGATGGAAGAAGAATATTTCTAAAGATAACATAAAAAAACGAAATTAAAGGGTCGTCTGGTCTGTTATCAACTAGGAAATTTGAAAAGAAGAAAGGGGGGGAATAAAAAAGGTAGTGAGAAAGCAATAAGAATGTTTATTTGCTGAAGAAGCAATGCTTGCTTGATTTAACATCATGAATCCAAATTCTTTCCAACTTTTGTCACTTTTTGTTGTTTCCTTCCTTGTCACTTAGTATAAATCAGTGTAGGGTCTTTAATTAATATCTCACCTCTTTAATGTTGTTTGTAATGTATTAATATTTTAATAGTTTTTCTTTTTCTTTCCTTTTTAATTATTAGATTTTATAAAAATGAGAGATATTTTAATATATTACAGATACAAAATGATGCACTTTTGATTTTGTTCTACCATTTTTCAAAGAAAATATATAAAAAAAACTCTTTTGTTTTTTATCACAAAGTGCTTTTAACTATTTCACTGAAATTAAGAAATGATATTAAATTTATTGTGTTTAAAATAAAAAAATTAACTTTACTCCTATTAAAAATTAAAAGAGAAAGATACACAACAAACGATAAATTTAAACACATTAAAATAAATTTTATAACAGGAATAAAATTAAAAAATAATAATAAATAATTTTTCATATGTCTTACACATTTTTTTATTTTTTTGGAAAAAAAGTGAAAAAAAATGCAAAGCTATATCGTATCATCACATAAGAAATTAAAATCTAACTCATTTTATGATGAAATCTAATGATCAAAAGAAAAATTAAAAAAAAAATTGATGAGAGATTGAGATGCATTAGACAGTGACACAAAGGCCAGTTCCAAAACCTATAAACACTGTTTTGATCTTTCTTTTGTTTTGTTTTTCAAACTCTTTCTTCCTGTGTTTCCATCAGCCTCGTGATTCCACCACCAACTCCTGCCAAAATTTTACTCAATAATTCATTCATCTTCAATCAACCTTTAGCAGTAGCACAATATAACGGTCAAACTTTGTCAGACTCAATCAAGCTTCCAGTTTCTTCTTCTCTCTATTATTTTCCTCAATCAAGTAACTGTCAAAAACACTCACTCGTATGACTGTCACAGAAGCTGATGAACAAAATATGATCTTTCACTATATGCCGATACTTTTAATTACAACTCATCATTTTCATAATGCGTGACTCGGGAATTTTCAACTGACTTAAGCAGTGAAAAATGGACTCATGTCTTATTACATACTCCCTCCATCTATATATATAAAATATTTTTAATCAAATTATATAAATTAATAAAAATTAATTATTTAATTAAAAGTACAAAAAAATTTTAATTTTATTTTTAATTATTATAAATAAAAAATAATTTTTTTAAAAGTAAATTAATAAAAGTATTTAACTTTTTTTCTTTCTAATTTAATAAGGATATAATGATTCATTCATTAAAAAAATATACTAATAATTTTTTATATTTAAAAATAAAAAAAAGATACTAAAAAACTTCTCATATATAAAAGCAAAGGGAGTACATATGCATATATATGGTTGAGACTGACAAGATTTAGGTATAGTTTTTTTTTTTTTTTTGAAAGCGGTTGTAATCAGGTTCTCCAATATTGTTCAAGAGCATGTTATTAGATTTATAAATGATTTTCTTTATACATTACAACTTTTTTCTTTTTTTTTTTTTGGGAGAACTGATAACAACCACTCCAATGATTATAACTAAATTAAATGATAATTTTGGAAGCTAGGCTGAGCCAAGAGAGCAGAGTTCAATGGAGCCACAATGAAGCAATTCCTGAATCATCTGTTCTATGTGATCATCTTCAAGAACTGGTCCAACTTCTTCGCTTTGGCCTTCGACCACCCACTGGGACTCCTCCGGCCTCATCTCCGGCCACCGGAATCCAGAGTCGGAGCTCGTTCCGGCAATGGCATTGCCGGAGGAAGTAAATGGGCTGTTACAAAAAGTATCAGAGTGATGAGGCCTCTGTGTTTGTTGTTGCTGCTGAGGCTGTTTCTGCTTATTGGCCATTTGAAGAGAGAGCGAGGCCATGTGACACTTGTGAAGCTTGGCCGTCAAAGTTGCAGAGAGATACTTTGAGGAAGATGACTGTGGCTCGTTGGGATTGTACGGGAAATTGGTTCGTGCCTTAGTCCCACACATCAGCCTCGCTGCTTCGTCGTAGGCTCTGGCTGCATCTTCCGCCGTTTCGAACGTCCCCAGCCATATTCTTGTCTTCCTGTATCCCAGTATCCCACAAGAAACGTTTCGTCAGTTTTGAAAAGTGACACAGAGAAAACAGAGGAATCACAGAGACAGAGAGAGAGAGAGAGAGTTACAGAAGAGGGTGGCGGATTTCGGAGACCCAGGAGCCCCAGTGCCTCTGGCGGACGCCTCGATAGCGTTGTTGGGGTCTGGCCATGATTGCAAGGAAAAAGAAACGTTTCGGAGAGATTGAGAAGACGAAATGTGATTGTGAAGACTCTGCTAGAAAGAGAAGAGGGATGATGACTGAAGCGAAGAAGGGGAAGGCAACATTTATAGGCCCATTATTTGCGGCCTTCTTCTCTGTCAATTTACCAATGGGCCCACACGCGGTTTTCATTAATTTTTTTTTTTGGATTAATCTAAGTGGCTTTTTTTATATAATTTAAATATAAAATTTGATATGAGTCTTAATTATATAGAAACGAATTATTATCAGAAGAGCTTAGTTTGAACTCAGAACCCACCAAGTATGCCTTAGAGTGGTTTATAGAATTTGACGGTTAATGCTCGAGGTATTAGAAATCAAAGTCTTCTGGTCGGTTGAATCAGTAAATTACTGAACATATGTCTTAATTAGTTTAATAAAATGTTTTGTTGTCAGTATAACTATGATTCAATTATTATTTTAATCATTAATCTTTAAATTAATGTCTTGACCATTTAATAACTAATTTAATTCAGTATCTTGGTGATATTTACAAGTTTCTTAGAATTTTATATTTTATACTGGTATTTTTGAATAAAACTTACTTATCAATATATGGATTATATTCTCTTCATTCCATTTTATAAGATATTTTTTAAGGTAATTTGATGTCTATAAATATAAGATGTTTTGAAAAAAAATTAGGGCATCATTAATATTTATTATAAACTATATTTAATAAACTTTATTAGTATATATAATTTTATCCAAAAAAAAACTGTAAATTGTCACAGGAGGAGTTAATCAACTAAGAATTTTAATTTACAATAAAGATTTTCTTCTCAAACATGTCCCTCAAATGTTTTTTTTTTTTTCCCAAGTGGGTAATTTTGAAGTTTCACAAATAAGTGAATCTTGAATCTTAATTAAATTAACGTTGCTTTTTATAGAAGTGATCATTACCGAGTCTTCATTGCTGGAAACGGGAATGATTCACAATTTTATTTAATAGACAACCATCATTTTTATCTACTCAAGAAAAAATAATCATTTTTAAGCATGATAGAATTTCTAAAGATATGATTAATTTTTTATATTTTTTTATCACTTATCCAATATCAATAAGAGTCTACATTTTCTTGATTTTTTGGACATATATATTTTCTTAATTTTAACAATAAATAAATAGAAATAATCAATTTAAAAAAAAATGAAAAATCCCATACATTTCTTCATTCTTATATATTTTTACTTTTTGTAGTTATATTGTATTCTATGGGGAAAATCAATATAATAAATATATTTTCCATGAAAAAAGATATTAATATTTTCCAATCATATGGATTTGTGGGTACTTTATCATCGTTTTTTTTTTTGGCATTTAAAAGTTAAAATATTTATTTTCTTATAAGTCAATAGTACAGTTATATAAATTGATAGTACTCCTTTAGTATTTTGCAACATTTAAGAAAGAATTTTTCAAACATATTTTAACAAATTAAAACTATATTTGTACCATTCAGATCTCATCCAAATTTGCCGGTGGTTTGAGATTATGGTTGATTTATCAAAAAGAGAAATTAAATTATTAAATTATAATGTGTTTATTATTCATGCAATTTTTAATGTGCATTTATTTGAATGGCAGGAAAAAAAAAACTGTGTGGGATTACTTATATGTATTAGCGAGACAATGTAACCTTATTACGTCCACTAATTATTGATTGGGATAGATAAATATTTGCTTTTGTCTTATATATATATATATATACATATATATTGATCTTTAAAGGTAAAAAAAAAACTTAAAACTAATTTTCAATGATCACCCGCACATGTTCACATGACTATGATAATTACATATACGAATTTAGCTTGAGTAACAATCATATATGCTTTTTTAAATTTACAATGATACAAAAATAAATATTCAATACAAATGAACGTAATCTGACAAGGAATATTGGAGAAGATCATGTCTCCAAAAAAAAAAATCAGTATGCAAGATATCAATTACTAGGTAGGACATGGTAATCATGATAGTCTAAATGTATAAATGGAGGGTAGCCACCTTTTTTTTTAATAAAATTAATAATTAATGATAACCTTAATTCATAATTATAATTGTCTTTCACATATATAATCCAAAATGCTTCATTTTGAAGGAGATGGCATATGGCTTGTCTTCGGAAGCTAATTCTAATAAGGCTGTTTTGTAGTTAGTGAACATGATGAGACGTGGCAAATTATGTATTAGGATTTTGTTCCATTACAAAAAAGTTAAATATAATTTTTATATCTTTCTTGTCAAATTACTGCAATAAATTTCCATGCTTTATTTTTTTTACATATTTTTAATACCATACACGATTGAATTTTAAATGGTTTGAGATAATAATATTTACAATGCAATACAAGCGCAATGACGTTTTTATATATCGTAATTATAAAATTGAAAACAAACTAAAATTATATTAAATTGACAACAACTAATTTATCTATTTTTTATTGCATTGCTCAATATCCCGAAAAACTTGAGAGTATTATTACCTTTTATTTGAAGTAATCCAAACCTTGTTGTGAACTGTAATTAATTATCAATGAGAGTTTTTCAAGTAACTGGAGATGCTTTTGACATTTATCTAACGATTGTATAACTCAAACTTGAAACTCAAGTATAAGTTAATTTAACTGTATTGATCAGTTAAACTAAGCACTCTTCAGTACAATTAATTAATTTGTTTATATCATAGCCGTTTTAAGTATCAAATCTTCAAAGACAGAAACAAAAATAAAATTTACTTTTTGGACACTCCAAAGAACGAACTCCTACCCAATAATTAAATAAATTTTATCCGAGTACAATGGTTTTCATGAATGTATCTATAATATTATGCCTAGAAATTAAAAAAAAAAGTTTTTTTAAATGGATATTCCATGTATATATGTTTATTTTCCTAAATCCCAACGCGTAATGATAAATATCAATTGAATGCATGTAAATATGTTGAAACCACTCAAGAAGCTTCATATATCTCTGTCAATGGTTTTAAGGTTTTTTTAAGCATACAGTTTCTATCCTTTTTTGAAACATTTTTTTTAAAAGGTCGTAATTAATTTAAAAATTAGTTTTAAAAAAACATTCACATTTAGTACTCTTGTAGCATCTCACAGATAAGGACGGGGTCTCTATGCAGAATGAAAGGACATTATTAAAAGCTTCACACACACACACACACGTTTTTTTCATCGTTGACCTGGTAAAAGCAAGACCATATGCACTTATTTGTCTATGCAAATTCTTTTTAAATATATATATATATATATCCTTGAAATTTCTCTTTTATATATATATATATATATATGGCTCTTGCAACGCCGGCAGCTGGAGTACTCTGGATTCACTCAACCAAGACGTCCTTCTTCTTCTTCTTTATCTTTTTTTTTTTTTTTGCAATTAAACAAAGTAAAATTGTAACTTATTAGTATTGAGATAAGGCAATAAAGCTCAAATTCAATATTAAAAAAGCCCAAGTCCAGCACAGGCAACAAACAGCAAGCAGGAAAAGTAAATAAAAGTAGCCAGAAACTCGTATGAATTACTTCCATGAAGATTTCCCTTATGGTCAGGGAAATTATTTTTTTTTTAATTATGGAAATTATGTTTGAATTTTTTAAATTATAATTTTTCTATATATACATATTTTTGTTAGGAAATTAAGGACGACTTGACGCGAGAAGTAGAAATGTCATACATGCATACATACATACATACATATATATATATATATATATATGATAAAGTTTGGTTAAAGAAGAGGCAGGCATATCATTAAGCAAAATAATTCATAAGATCAATGCCATAAACTTTTGATTAAAATATATAGTTGAGTGCATTTAAATACACTTTTTTTAAGCTCCAGCTCCAGATACCCCCCTTAGTCCTTAGACATATTTTAAACTTTTTGTTGTCTCTTGCTTGAATCTGTTCTTTCTCCAAATAATACATACATACATACATACATACATACATATATATATATATATATATATAATCACATATCTTTAAATATTAAACATCTTAATCGTCCCTGAACATCTTAACCATATCTTAAGCCAAATCAATCAAAAAAGCCAACATTCTTAAAGTAATGACTTTGATTAAACAGCCTAGCAGACAAAATTCTTCAGTATCATTATTATAATATAAGAATTAAAATTTTAAAACGTAGTATTAATTAAGAGAGACTATATGTTAGAGTGAATAGATGGTTGAGTTATTCTATTTTAGACTAAATTTGAATTCAATTACTGTGCTTAATACGAGTATTGAGTATCCGTACGATCTAAACTTTTAAAATTCATATCAATGGCTATGGACTTATACTCCACTTAAAATTAATAAATAAGTAAGTTTATTTAAATTATTGATTTGAATTTTAACGACTTAAATGGTATAAACATTCAATGCTTATATTAAATACAGTCGTTGAATTTAAATCTTTTTAGACTTGAGGACAACAACATGTAAGTAAAATATTCATAATTAATTGTTTACTTTCTATGTAGTTTTTCCACTGTATAAAACAAAGATTCTAAATAATAACCTCCTTTAACCTGCTAATATATTTAGAATGAAGTGCCATGTTTCTCACAGATATGACATAATGACACTATTAATTATTGCACACAGAATTTTTTTTTTTTGAATAAATACTTAAATAAGATTTTTATTAATTACTAATTAATATAAAAAGTAATTATATATGGTAATAATAAATTAACAGAAGACAAATTTTGTAGGGTTTTTAACTAGATTTGTACAAGGTGATTCTATTGACACTATATACACAAATTACTATCGATGTCCTTCATCTTAACTTAAAAGCTGAGACATATAATATTCCATAGGATTAAAATAAAGATTAATCAGTGAGATACGTAAAACATAATGGTTGGTAGAGAGGGGCCAAGTAATAATATATTATGTATATAATTTCTTACCAGGAATTAACATTTAAGATTACTACAAGCATATTTTGTCTTGCTCTTGTCATCTACGTGATAATAAAATTT